TTTTTTTTTTTTTTTTGCTGGAACCAGGGATTGAACTCAGGCCCTTGCACTTGCCAGGGAAGCGCTTATTCCACTGAGCCAGCTCCTGGCCCCTTAGGTTATAAGCTTTTCAAATCCTCAAATTGTGATGACACTGATGCTTGGTTTAAAAAGCATTAAATGATAGAAGAGTTAAAAATTGTTTTCAAAATTATATTTTTTATATTACTGAAAGACAAAACATTAATAAATAAGGCTAGGGAGATAGCTCAGCAATCTAAGTGCCTGTCTGGCAAGCACAGGGACCAGGGTCTGAACCCCAGGCACACCACTGAGACTGGGCATGGTGGCGCACACCTGTAATCCCAGCACTGAGGAGGCTGAGACAGGAGGATCACTACGAGTCCAAGCTGTGTAGTGAGACCCTGTACCAAATAAATAAATAAATATTTTTAATTAATAAAGGTTGCACAGGCAATAGGGATTTTAAGATTTTAAGTATAGTGACTTGAATATCTAAAAGTTCTAGTATGTCTTGGAAAAAATTTAAGCTATATATAAGTTCTAGATATAAATTCTGCTCATATATGATGCTGACAGTTAAGCAATGTTGAAACTAAGGCTTGCTCTCAAACCTAGCTTAGGCCCAAAAGAAAGGAAATAAAGTTTGAGTTTTCATATGCCAGATTTGGCGTACTGACGTAACAGTCACGGTGGCATCAGCAGTCTTGTTTCTGAAGCAGGGTCTGCATCCATGCAGATGCACAGTGCAGCTGCAACCCTTTCTGACTTTTCGACCTTATGTCTCAGTTACTGTCTTGTCCCTGAGACATAGTCGCCAATACCTGCAAGTTACAGGAGGAAAGATTTATTTGGTTCGCAATTTATGGATGTCTTAGTCTGTGATGGGCTGGCTCCAAGGCAGAGCGGCCAGACAGAGGGGCAGAGGATGGTCAGCTCCTGAAATGACAGCAGGAAGCAAAGAGCTCAGGGGAGGAGGAGGGGAGGGAGGAGGGAGGGAGCCCCTCCAGGCCACACCCCACCGACCCACCTCCCCCAGCCAGCCTCACCGCCCCAATTGCATTTAGCTACGACTCCTCAGTGGATGCTGCCACGGCTGCGTGTGGCGCCCTCACGGTCCGATCGCCTCTCCCGAGCCCCTGGGAGGACATGTAGACAAACCGGACCACCTCACATGTTCCCATCTTGCATTTAAATTTTATTTGATGGCTTTTAACAATAGCACTCATTTTCAGTCTTACTGTGATTTGAGTATATTTGGTGGTCATGCTCAACAGTCCTATAATTCATTGATTCCATTATAAGCCTGACTAATTATAGTAAATTGGTTTCTTTTTTAAAAAATTGCTTTCAACACTGATAATAGCAATAATCTCACTGCTCTGGAAGGCAGGAGGCAAGTTCAAGCCCAGCCCAAGCAATTGAACAAGACCCTGCTTCAAAATAAACAATGTAGAAAAGGCTGGAGTTGCTACAAAGGCTCCTGGTTCAATTCCATTTACCTCTACACATGCAATTTTTAAAAAACCTTCCCATTTATATTTATTCAGTCCACAAGTACGGTTTGAGCCCCTGCCAGGCACGCTGGGACTGAGGCAGTCGTGGTGCTGGCCAGACCAAGTCCGGAGTCTGCTGTGAAGTCTATAAACAGTTACAGAGCTGCAAAACTTTGAAACCTTTTGGGTTGAGAGCATATGATGGAGGAGCTGACCCAATCTGCAGCTGTCAGAAACGGGTTCCTTGAGGAACAGACACAACATATGGGCCCTACACGATGCCAGCCGGCTCCCAGGCCGAAGCAGAGGGGACCCGTGTGTACGCAGTGTGAGCTTGCCGCGGCGGCGACAGCGCTCTGCCAAGTCCACTCAGCGGACCTTCGGGCGGAAGGACGAGGTTAGGCAGGTGGAGTAGGTGTCTCTCAGGTGTAGAGGAGATTCAGGGCCCTGTCGGCAGGGAGCCATCGCAGGGGTCAAGGTTGTGGAGTGGCATTTGTCGGTAGCCCGTAAAATTAAGATCAAGTGACCCTTTGTCCTGTTACTTTTGCTCTCTCGGTCAGGAGTACAACTGGAGAAACTATCAGTCCAGCGAAATGAGTGAGTCTGAGTTGCAGATGCTAGCAAGCCTCCGGCGGCAGCAGAATGAGGACCTGGAGGACCCCGGGGCTCCCCACGGCCTGAGCGCGTCCCAGGTGGACAACTGCAACGTCAGCATAAGCAGCAGCAGCGACGACACGACCACCTGGAACTCCTGCCTGCCACCTGTGAGTTCTGCACTTTGCATTCGCTTCATCCCCTTCACACCGAAGGGGCAGCTCTGGGAAAACCCAAGTCAGAATGAGAACAGTCCCCCCAGCAGACGGTCACAGTGCTCCTGAAACAGTGTTAGGAGATGCCGCTGGCTCTTCTTAAATTGTCTTGTTTACTCTTGGAAGATGTGTGTACGTGATAGTCCTTTGTCTTGGTCCATTCTGTGCTGGCCTAACAGAATATAGGAGACTAGGTGATTTCTCAGCAACATAAAGAACAGATGTATTGCTTACAGTCCTAGAGGCCGAGAAGGCCAAGGTCAAGAAGGCGGCACATTGCTAGCTCCTCTTCCTGCATCATCCCAGGACAGAACACGGAGGCCGAGAGAGCAAGAGAGAGAGGCAGAAAGAGCTGGGGAGGAGGTTGGGTTAAGCCTTTTTATAAAGCACCCTTCCCATGCGGACCCATCCGCTCCCGCAGAAAACGGGTTCACCCTGTCCGGTCGGCCGCGCCCCCATGGCCTGATGCCACTTGAAGATCCCGCTTCTCAACATTGTTGTTTTGCCAGTTCAGTATGTAACACAGGGACCTCAGGGCCAAACAGGTAGCTGTGATGAAAGAACTATACACTGAGGGGAAAAAGAATAATTTTACTGAGAACTCTGAGTACTGTCACGTAGCATGAAGTTTGCCAAGAAAAAGAGGCTCACTATCTGTTAAATATGTATTTATTAAATGAATGCTCAAAAAGGAAAAGTCCACAGAAACGCTAAGTACTGCTCAGATGAGAGGGCAGGAAAGATGCCCTAGGTGTGGAGGATCCGCCCTGTGGGGGAGAGGCCTGGGCTCCGCGGACCTCTCACAGGCCTGCGGTCCTGCGTCTGGGCGCGCTTGGAGCGCTCTGGGCGTGGCCAGCCCCTCACCGCAGCCACAGACTAGTTGGACCAGGTTTAGTCGTTCTGGTTTCCAGGTGACGGTCCCAGAGCAGAGCCCTGAGGTCAGCGCAGGCGCTCCCTGCAGCGCTGTCCTCACGCAGCCTACAGCTGCCCACAGAAAGAGAGCGAAGTGTGCATAGCAGGACGCCCGGGTACTGCAAGGAAACGTCTTAGGGCAGGATAGTAAGCTATGGATTGCTACAGTAATGGTAATTGAGCTACTGTTTCCTTTTGTACTTTTAAGTTTATCGGTACTACTTCAATACACCTAAGGATACCGCTCATTACAAGGAATTTGTGCCTGTATGCGTCATAGATCATGGTTCCTTTTTTCCCCCGTGTCTCTTCCCTCCCTTCAACCTCTCGCCCCCTCCCCATTTACAGTTCTGTTTCCACTTTATCCTCCTTTTCTCATTTGTTTTCCCTTCCTTTTCCCATCCTCCCTCCCTAGTTCCCCTTTCCTTTCCTATAATCTCTTCCTATTGTACAATCTCCATTTTACATTTTGGTTCTTATTTACACTTTCAGTTTCTCACACCAGAGAGACAGCATGATATTTATACATTTGTCCAGTTTATTTCACTTTAGAGTATAGTTTCAAGGTCCATTCATTTAG